TGATCGAGACCAGTACAACTTTGAGCCTTTGATCCAGAGATAATAATGAAGAGGAGGACCTGAGAGAAGAAATAAAGGGAATAGGAAGAGAGAGAAAAGAGAAAATGTACATGTACATGTACAAATAGACATAGAGGAGGATGAAAAATTAAGAGCATACATGTACATGTAAACCACAGTAGATGGTTGGTCTAATGTACATGTACATGTGCATTTTATAATGCCCATAGCCATTTGTATTTTATTGGATAAAATACATGTATAAAAAGGATGATCCCATGTTATTTCATTGATGAATAACTTTTTCATTTGGAAAGAGAATATTTCATTCACAAGGGCTGATGATGAAAAGAATGTTTCCCCCACAATAATACATGTATACAGTACATGGAAAAAGAACTCACTTTTATTATCCCCTGATATAAAGTATCCAAGATAATAATTAATGATACCAGTGACACTTGACCTGTTAGCATATTCTGATGGAGCAATGAATGACACACTCTCAGACACTAAACTACACCCATCAGTACCACCACTGTATAAACTACCAGTATCAGCCTCACTCCTATAAATAATACAAAAGAGAAAGTGACATGAACATGTAAATGTGTACATACATGTACATGTATAGGGAAATTTTTTTGGATTTAATTTTGCAAATTTATGCCATCGGCCATCTTGTACCGTAATTGATTTTCGCCAAAGTAATTTTTGCAAATCTTTAAAAAATCATGAAATCCATCAAATTTACAACTTTTTGACATTTTGCACTATGATTGATGCACCACAAATGGGCTTGGCCTACTGGCAAATTAATTTGAACAGAATACTTTAAACAAAACCTTTGACACTTCAATGCAAATAAGTTCACCAAAAAATTCTAATAATTAGATCTAACTAAACAATAAAATTAGACTTCACAAAACAATTATTATTATGTAAAACTTCAAAGAAATGTTAATCAATCAACCAGGCCTCTTCCTTAATGACATTTTCAATTATTCTGTTGTGATACTCTAATTGCCCATGTGCATTGTACCGTAAGACGTTATTTTCGACCAAAGATGCAATAACTTCTTTAATGTGATGATTGGTTTCTTCTGGACTATTGCGAAACAATTTTTGACGGTCAATAGACTGATCGTTACTATCTTGTATTTCCTTCAGAACCCTTTTTAATATGGAACGATTAACTAACATCATTGCTTCAAAAGAAGCACTGGCATATTTGTAATAGAGTTCCTTCTTTATCTCCTTTAATAGCTTTTCCTCCGATGTTTGGTCGCCATTGTATTTAGAGTGTGTATCTAGAGCATTCAATAGGTATATCATCCTTCCCCCTGAATACTTGACTACTTCCTGTGATAGACTATGTGCCATTCCACTTTTATCTAAATAATCAACTGCCTCCTCATCAGAATAGTCCAATACTTCCATGATACCTTTGCTACGAGAAGATGCTGCTGTTGAACGAATTTGTGGCAAGATTATTCCCTCGCTGCTCACAAACACTACTCTCAGAGTTCCTTGATTAGCATAATCTTTTGCAAATGAAACCAATGTTGGAAATTCTTTTTGGTATGTCTTTGCTAAAAGATCAGCATTATCAATGAAGAGACAAGGCATTATACCATGCTTCTTTTTGTACACTGCTGCTCTTTCTGCCAAAATAGATAACATTTTATGAAGTGCCTTAAAGGGATCATCTGGTACTTTATAATAGTGAATATAGTCATAAGCAAAGTAATTTGTAACGAAATCAAAAAGTGTTGGGTTAATTCGAATTCCCGTATCTTTAGCAAAAGATTCAACCAATCCAGAATAATGTATTTCAGTATATATCACTCCTTTCGGGTATCTGCTACATGCTAATTGAGTTGCATAGGATTTTCCTGTGCCAGTTGGTCCCACAATAATTCCAAACAAACTTTCTCTATCGGAGTCATTTTCCTTAATGAAGCGGTCTTTAATCTTTTCAACAATTCTGTCACAATGTATTTCATTGTTGTGACGAGACATTTTCATTGGCTTTTTTTCTGACTCAAACATGTCATCAATTGGCCTGCTCCTTACACTGTCTGCTTTCCATAAATTGTATGGAATATAACCACCAACAATAATAACGATCAGTGTCAAAGTTAAGGACTTTCTACCAAATACTTCAAGGAACTCCAATTGTCTAGCTACTGTTAGGACAGACATCAATATCCCACGATATACAATTTGATTTTTATCCGTAGATCTATATCGACGTCGTGTAGCTGTGGTAAGTGTCATCGTAAAATACATGCTGTGACCAGCTCTTGGTGAGGCCGCAACAAATGTCGATCTCGCTGGAAGTTTACTCAGGCTGCTGCACAGACTACCGCTGCGACTAGAAAGTGCCATAGATCTATAACAAACTCTTCTACCACAATATGATCCGCGGTTCCAGAAAACGGACAGCATTACTGCACAAATACTCGTGATTACTGGAGGGAGAGGAGACGAACAACTGTCAGGGCTCGGCCTAGATCCTGATAATGTATGGAAAGCCAAATGCGACAAAAATATGTGTAGCTGCCGGAGTATAGACCTTTTCACGATACGTGACTGGTGGAATGTTAATGAGATGTAAA